GATAAACTGCAGGCTGTTCTGAGTGAGGAGTGGACAAAGATCTCACTGGCAGTGACTGAAGTGGATGTTTCACTGCCTCAAGCAGAGCCCAGAACCAGAGCTGAATTTATGAGATATTCACATCAAATCACACTGGATCCAGATACAGCACACAGGCGTTTGTCGTTGAGTGACAGAAACAGAAAAGCAACATTGATGGCAATAGACCAGATATATTCAGATCACCCAGACAGATTTGTTAAATGGTGGCAGATCCTGAGTAGAGAGGGTCTGACTGGACGTTGTTACTGGGAGGTGAAGTGGAGCGGGGACGTTTCTATTGCAATTGCATACAGGGACATTGGCAGAACAGGGACCAAAGATGAATGTGGATTTGGATATAATGACAAATCCTGGTCATTAGAATTTAACAGTTTAAGTTATACATTCAGACATAACAACATTGTTACTTCCATCTCAGGCCCTCAGTCCTCCACAATAGGAGTGTATCTGGATCACAGGGCAGGTACTCTGTCTTACTACAGCGTCTCTGAAACCATGACTCTCCTCCACAGAGTCCAGACCACGTTCACTCAGCCTCTCTATGCTGGATTTTGGCTTCCAAGCAGTGCTGGAGACACTGCTGAGTTGTGTGAGCTCAAGTAGACATGAGTTCAAAGAGTGATTTATCTCTGTACAGTAAATGTTGAGGTGTGTTTGCACGTCAGACATCATAGTGTGTGGGACTGTGATGTTTTTTCTTCGATTTTATGCTGTTTCGTTTGTGTCACAGACGTTCAATGAAATTTCTTTTTTAATTTGCCAGATGGGGATTAAAATGTCTTTATTGTTGAAATGTAATTCTTATATTTACCTTATATAACATTTTCATTATATAGTGTGCATGGAAAAATATTGTGAATGCTGTATATAGTTTTGAGAAGAGTTCACTTTAGCTGTACCATATCCTCATGAACACAATTTGTATGTTTTAAAGTTTATTTTTTAGTGCTCTTCATACTGCAATCTGTACTGCATACTGCACTGTTGTAATGATATGACATAATTGCAATACTTTTTTTGTAGCCAAAAAGAAAAACTGGTTTTAATATAATTGCAATCTCTTGAAAAAATAGTTTGCTAATCATATTTTTAAGAGTTATTTAAAGTGTCTTTGAGTGATAACATTTTAGAAAACCTTTATGAAATGTCAGTGTTCAAAATAACCCAAATAAATAAATAAATAAAAGTTGACTTGTAATGTATTGTAGTCATTTGTTCCTTCCAATCAATATTTTTTTTAAAGATACTTTGATAACAGACAAACACACGAGGAGAAAAACTCCACTTTATGATGGTGATGTTAAAATTCACCACCAAAAGCACAATCACACAATGATTTTAAGTTTGTAAAATGTTGACTCCTCTGCAAAGGAAAACATTACAGCATATTATTTCAGCAGAATGTGTTACTTTCAGATTTATTACACAACTTTTGAACATTCCACAACAATCATGCAGGAATAAAATGGGAATTATACAAAGCTTTACAGGCTTCGCCAGTCACACTGTAGGAATAACTGGGCTTCACGCTGCCTCGAAAACACTCGAAATGTGAGGTAATATTTTTTGAAATCATCACCTACTGACAACAGACCATGTGTTGACTTGATGCTGATGATGGTGGGAGAAGAAAATCACTCAATAAACAAAAAGGAAAGAAAAAAGAAATATAAACTATCGTTCCCCGTGCACTGACTTAACTTGAAATATTACAGCTAAAACTGACGGGAATATCAATATTATCCATATTATTGAGTCTACTCCACATTCCATAATCATCCCTTCATCTCTTATCCCTTCTGTCATGTCCTCCTTGGACAGTCCAGATCAAAAACATCAGTGCCTTCCATCAAGTCAACAAAAATTCGAGAAAGTAAAAGATGTTTGTAACACAGACGTTGTTACACCAGTATTTTAGACACAAGCTCAGAGCTACATAGTGAAACAGCTTTACACAGATCTTCAGGGTGCTGTGAGGTTCACAGGCTGGCAAATACATCAGTGGTTACACTGTTATCATGTCAACGTATTTGATTTTTACCATTAATAACAAGGCTGTAAACAGTGCAGAAAGCCAGATATCGGAGATAATATGACACAAAGTTGTCCCTAAGTCCTGCTTAAATTCTTACCATGTCAGACCCTTATTTAACCTGAGCCTTCTCTAATCGTAGTCTCAACCGTTTTCTGCTTCATACCAAAATGTAACCATCTTAAGGTTTAAGAAGCCTTAAGATTCCCATCAGATGACATGGACCGCTCCTTCTGTACTCGCTAGCCTCACGGCCATTCATATTTCTAACTGAATGGGTTTTCTTTAATTAGTCTTTCTAAAAAGCTGAAACATGCTGCTGGGGATACTTTCCATTTTCCACTAGAGGTACGAAAAGCTCAGTCAAAATCGTATTTGTTGTAACACAAATTATTAAAAATCCAGCCCTTAAAAAAACAGCATTGCTCCACAGGATGTTGTCACTCCATATGTCCAGATAACAGTGATAATTGTAATATCTTTCTGTTTGTAGCTGCCTTTACCAAACGCCATTTACCACAAGTCCAAGACCTTGTACCCATTTGTCTTATACTGTTAAACTGATTAACTGGATTCACAGAAGTTAGTGGCAGAGAGGCTAGCCACTGTTCAGCTCACCTCTTAACCCAGATCTAACCCAGTTGTACTAGAATATGGATGTTTCAGCTTTTCACAGCAGACAGTTTGTCTTGTCATAAGAGGAGGGCAGGTGTTAGTAATGTTAACAGTCTATTCAAGTGTCTCAGCGTGCCATGACAGTGTGACAGTGACTGTGCTTTATCCTACCGTGACATGTCAAAGTGTCATGTGTGAAAAGGGGGTTAAGGGCACATCCTCTCAGCATGTTTATCCCATCAGACTCCACCTCATCAAATGCATCTAAAGCCTGAAAAACAAAACGAGGAATAAAAAAAAATATTGAGACAAAAAAAATATATATATATATTAAAAAAACACAACTTCAGAATGTGAGACAGCCAGGCATCATGTCAGCCACATCAACAAAAAATATTAGTTAAATATTCAAACATGGCTACATAAGAATTATATATAAAGAGAACTACTATCAAAGTAGAATAACAGAAGATAGAAATACAATAAGATGTAAGAAACAAAGTTTACATCATCAGTGTATAGCAATTTACAATGCATTCAACAGAGTGGCATTTTAATCGCTTCAGGTGCGACAATTTAAGTTAAAGGGGCAAAAAGCGAAATCGTTTCACCGCTAGGTTTGCTGCCGCCCGCCAGGCAGCCCGCCAGGCTCGCGGGCTGCCTGCTAGGCTAAAACATCGCTCTCACTCACGGAGAAGAGTAGGAACGTTAGCGTTAGCTCCCGGTGTTAGCACTAGCCGGGATCCGAGTCGGCTAGAGCCCGCCAGGCTGCCCGCCTGGCTCGCGGGCTGCTCAAGCTCCAGACATTAACCCATCCTGGTGTTTCCTCCGCAGCCTCCACTTCATCCAGCTTCACTCAGCTGCCCGATAAAACCCGCTGCTTCTTCCCACTTTAACCTGAAGCTATGCCCGCGAGCAAGCTGCCCGCTAGGCTAAAACATCGCTCTCACTCACGGAGAAGAGGAGGAACGTTAGCGTTAGCTCCCGGTGTTAGCACTAGCCGAGTCGGCTGCCACCGGCTACTGGACTAACTTACAGCTATGGAGCGCTTCTATCAGCTCTTCTAGTCACTGAGCCTCTCCTCCATCTCTGCAAATATATTACAAAAATGTAGCCTTGCGGGGAGGCTACATTTTACAATGCTAATTGAAAATGTTAGCTGGGCTGCCGGGCTAACTTACTCACTTAACACAACTGTAACGCCTGACCCACTGCTGGGACCGAGCCGCTAATAACTCAAGCTCCAGACATTAACCCATCCCGGTGTTTCCTCCGCAGCCTCCACTTCACCCAGCTTCACTCAGCTGCCCGATAAACCCGCTGCTTCTTCCCACATTAACCTGAATAACAAACCAGGGCTCGGTGCTCCGGTTGGATCCAAACAGAGAGCCGGGGCTAGTTGGGAAGCTAGCGGAGGCTAACTGGCTGCGCTTCCCTCCGGTCATGCTGCGGCTAACGCCTCGCCAGCCGCTCCCAGCTAGCTCCGGATTTTTGTCACATGAATGTACATGAACGTGCAGCCGGACCGGCTTGTAAACAATGGGCTGGAGATCAACACAGAGAGAGGGTGTGTGAGGTCATGCTATACTCCAGATGAAATTACACCTCTAGTTCTTCACATAACAATTTTTTAATTCCTTCAATCTAGAAATGATGAATTTCGCTTATTGCTCCTTTAAGTAAGAGTAATTTAAATTTTTCTTTTTTTACTAATTGTTTTATCTTTAAACGGGTTAGTGGTCTCCAAGTGCTTTTTCATTTACATTTTACACAGTAACTTTCATGCTAAGGTTATTTTGTGAGATGTTGGAATATTTCTTAAAAAATCAAAGAGCATAAATGCCTACAGTTAGATAACATCATATTCTTTGGTAAAGGAGGGTGAGAAGGATGTTTGTATGTGACATTTCGGTAATCTCTGTTAACACGACACACATCAACAAAACAAGTGATAGAAGGCCTTGTACACGAGTATAAAAATACAACCATAATAAAAAGTGATCGTATCAAAGTTTCCACAGTACAATACATACATACAACAGATTATTGCACCAAAATTTAACAATTTTATGTTTCGTCACGAGAGAGCAACTCAGTGAAGCTACGCTATTTCTTCACTCTCAGGATTTGAAATGTCTTTATATGAATAATACCAAAGATTTCAAATGATAAAAACTTTAATACAATACCGTGACACATAGTCAAACAGCCAATCAGTCGTATTGGATCTTAATCATATTCAACTATATGTGATCTACTGTATTTACGATGCATCAGGCATGTTGTGAAATGACAAATATTAAACCAGTAAAACGACTGCATCTTTCAATTCTGTCTGTTTGCACTCAGTTACTTTACATTTCACAAAAACACCAGCTTCCCTAACAGTCAGATTCAAGTGATCTACAGGGCTATGGTAATGTACCTAAAACAACATAATAAATAGCAACATAAAAAACAGACATCATTTGATCTCATTGTGAAAATCAAAACTTGAAAGGTCAGTTAAGCATTTAGAAATGAAAACATCATTACAGAATTCTTAAGATCTTATACTTTAGTGTGGTCGTTGTAAACAAGTGAGACCATGATGGAGATGATCTCTCACAGCTGTGATAGTGGTTGTAAGTGCTCCATAAGGTTCAACAAATGTTAGATGTTCTGTTCTCTTCGGATTCATTTAAGGTGATGAATGTAATGGAAGTGATTTCACTGATTCCCTCTAAGATTTCCCACCAACTATAACCTGGTGGCTCACAGTGTAAAAACCAGATATGTCACCAGAGTAAAACATTGGCATTGTATGTTTCTGCACAGATATGGATCCTTTGTATGTTACGTATGGTGGAGTTCAGATTGAATGTTTATGAGCTGAGTTTCTCATGAGGAGGAGGACGGGATGTTAGATGGTGTGACAGCAGCAGACCGCTGTTTGAGACCAACAAAAGTGAGGTTTTTTACCCAAGTGGTTTTTGTGCCTTAACCTACCCACACATTAACCACAGTATTGTCAAAGCATGAAATTTAAATTAAGAAATGTAAAGTTTCAACATATTCACTACATACTGTAAAGATTCAATTAATAGCCCGGGCTATTATTTGCTTGAACTGAAATGAATGGGCCTATATACAAATACAATGATTGTTTATTTAAACCAATATGAATATTACTTGTATAAAATTAGGCTTCAGATAATATATCAATTATGATTCATTTATTTGATCAAGCTCCAACAGATGCATCAGAGGGAGAGAAAGAGTTACGGCACTCGAGGATTACGGCACCCTGCATACCGACAATTAAATACATTATTCATATTCATGAAAAACCCCCTTGATTCTTTCAATCTGAGCACCCTTGCAGACAAAGGTCATATGAATAACTTAAAGGGTAACTGAGGAGTGGACACATAATTTGAGGTAGCCAGCAACCCGGTTTTATGCATCCAAAGAACTTCAATAAAAAAAATTAACTGCTTGGCAACCAGACCAGGCCTCTACTTGAGGCAGGCGTTTATTCGTCAAAATGTGTAGCCAATTGG